ATGTACCACATAACAAAAACATCATCTCATGTACCACATAACAAAAACATTGCATCACATGTACCACACACAAAAGAACCTAAACACATCACATGTAGCACACAACAAAAACATCAACATATCAGATGTACCACATAACAAAAACATCACATGTACCACATGAAAACATCATCACACCACATAACAAAACATCATCACATCAGTAGCAAACTATTTACCCTGTCTGAAAATACCTGAAGCCAATCTTCTACCTCTTGGTGATTCTTCTACCTGAAATAGTTAAAACAACAGGCACACTGTCAGATAATTTATAATAAGGATACTTTAAAATATAAGATTTAACATCTTCGTCTCCTTCTCCCCTTTATCCACAATTGGAGCACAGGCCCTGAGCCAACTCACCCAAGCTGTTCAAGAAAGGAAAAGTAAGGACCAACTAATCTGATGATGATGATGATGATGATGAAGATGCCAGCCCTCTGAGTTTTGTAGAAAATGAAAGAGATAGATAGTCATCATGGTTCCGGCATCACAGCAAATGAGCTTGGCCCATAATTGCTCAACCGCCTATGCCAGTGATTCCAGTCACAAACTGAGTCAGATACGCTGGATGCTTCAAGTGAATGCCGTAGCCATACAAAGTGTCCTCAGTCAGCAAATCACATACGATTTGATCTGGCAAACCATAAGGTGCATGCCTCCTTAACCACACTGCGAGACCAGGCATCATCCCTAAAAATAAACTTCATTCGACGAATAGCTGGGCAATGGGTAGATTAAAACTATTCCTGACCATTCACATGTCCTCGGCCAAGTTACAGCCACGGCCAGCAAATAAATTGCAGCCTTGTCCCAGGAACACAATGAAAAAAATACATCACCCATCATTGTCATTATGTACAAATCTGGAACTCAGTCAATAACCAATAATTACAGCTCATAGTGCCGCCAGGAGCACTAAACTCAGTAGCTCCGGCTGCAAAGCAGACTTCCACAATCTTACAACATCAAAACTGGAGGAGAAACGATGACGAGAACAGTCAACATAAGCCAAGTTCTCAACCGTCATCCATTCCCTATCGATGTCGGAACCGGAAGTTCAAATGAAAGAAAACTCACCTGCTGTACCTCTTCCTGCCGTCCGGATTGGGATAGCTCCTCCTCTCAGCATACGCAACGGGTTCGTATCCACCTCATCAGTGCCTCCTTCGCCTCCGCCACCATCATCTATATCCACCCCAGAAGCCCGGCCTGGAATACCCTGGGGTTCCCGGGCGGAGGGGCGGGGCCTGGATGATGCTGCTGCTACACCGGAAGCTTCGCCCTCACCAGCTAGCGACCTCTGGTGGTCTAAATGCCGGTTCAGCCTGCGCTCTCGTAGTTTACTCATAATCTCCTGTGGTGACGGAGCGCTCAGGTCGTCCTCAAAGAGGGAGGACGATGCCTGCTTTTTGTTAAACGAATCCTTTCGGTCAACAGATGAACTGGCACGTGTGTCTGCATCCTTCCCTGGCCGACTGCTGTCAGAGGAGCATTCGCTATGCTCCCAATCAATGTGGCCGGACTCGGTGTTCTCTGAAGTGTTGTCGGAACGATCCAGAGAAGATCTCTGAGAAGATCGTGCTGAAGAATGGTCAAGCATAGACGAATCATCTCGCAAACTCCCAGAGTCCTCAACTCGTACAATTTCAATTGTTCTCTTCAGTTCTTCTCGTTCCCGATCTCTTGAGGCCGGCACTGGGATATGGCTGTCTATACGTTTGTCACTTTTTGGGGGTATATCCGGTGATCCTGGAACTGTCTGTCTAACTGTTGGTTCCACTCTTTGAATTTCAGGTCGTGGTCGAGGGATAGGAATTTCGGACTTCTTTACACTTTCTGCTTTTGGGGGTCGAGGAGCAGGGACGGGTGGTGGACTAGGGGTGAACTTGGGTTGGGATGTACTTGCTGGCCGAGTCTGAGGCTGAGGTGCAGAGATGGGAGGCTGGGTTGTTGGAGCAGGTGGGGAGTGGAAGACTGGTGGATCAGAGGGGATCTGTGAGGTCAAGTTTACAAGTGATGCAGCTGGACTGGAGCTGGTTTTTGAATCTCTGATCAAGTCTGGCTCAGACCAAACGCTGGGCTCCAGCTCTTGTGAGCTCTTTGACGCCCGGCTGCCAGATCTCAGGGAGTCGGTACTGTTTCTGTGTCTGTAATTAGCTGCATCTGGTGGCTGGCTGGACGCTGAAGAAGAGATCTGTGGGGGTTCAACTGTGGCAACAACATTGTTTGCCATGTGGGCATTTGAAGCTGCTGCTTCTTCAACTACTTTCGGCCTAGAATCCACCTCTTCCAAGAGAATGGGTTTGTGCTCTAACACCCGAGCAGTTGGTGGCTTCACTGGCCCTGTCTTTGGAGGGTGAGCTTCAGCATCATCATCTAGTGATGCCTTCTCCTGGGGAAGGCTGGCGGATGTAATGTAAGAGGAGTGTCTTACAGGCTCGGCAGCTTCAACTGTGCCTGGCTTGGCCCTGTCTTCATACACTGACATTGGCTTCACTGTTGCTTGTTTTTTCTCCTTCGGCACCTCCTGCAAGAAAAATAGATGTATTAAATAAATGTGTCAATACTTCAAAAATACTTGAAAAAAAACTTGTATGAAAGAAAGTAAGGGCAGAAACAGCACATGATTTCATTAGATAACTAATGAAATGGTTTGGTCATTTAACTCAACTGTCAACAGACAATATAAAACCACATGCAATAATACACAAGCGGAAATTAAAAGGGGAAACCAGCTATGCAAATGATGGCCAGAGGGAATAACGAAATCCCTTGGAATCCCCTTTTTTTAAAACATACAAATGTGTGCTCTACGCTAATCCTTACCGGCACAGAACTACAGCTTACATGAGCTGGTGTAGCTGTCATAGACTGCTTATTAAAACTTCCATAGAGACTGTACCAACTGGCCTGCCATCAGCATCGAGACATTTTAGTCTTATGGTGTCAAACCTTCAGGTCCTGTTGGCGAAGAGTTAAAATTCTGATGGTACCAGTAACTGATTGTATATGCATCTCGCCTTTCCCCCGAGTGTCGAGCGTCAGCCAGATCCCCTTGTAACTCCTTGTAGTGCCATTCCCCTTAAACAGTAATGATCTATCTGTGCCTCGGCACTGTTCACTCGCTCCCAAAGGGCCCTCACAACATCCAGCTCATCATACATCAGTTCACGACCAAGTGGTGCAGAACTGGCCAGTCTATCTGCCTGCTCATTTCCCAACAGTCAGGCATAACCTGGAGAAAATATCCAAAGGAGGCTAACTACCTGGGACCTTTGAAGTGATGCTTCATGACTTTTCTCACTCCAAAGGTTTCCAGGGTGAAAGGGTTTAGTGTTAGGAACAAGAAGTCTGGGGAGTATCAAGGGTGTGGAAGCAATGCCAATTCCATCCCCCCCCCTCAAAAAAATTCAAAATTTGATCCTTTTTCAGCCGCCCGGAGGCCTGCTATATGAATGAAGGTTCCTTGGCTATCTTATTTGGGTCCAATTATTTGTGGTGAGAAGACACTCCTGATATTCCAGTTCTTTGTCTTCCTAAGTCCGGTGTGGTACTTGGGGTTTTGGGTCTGGTCCAGTTCTCTTAGTATCAGTATCTGTGGGTTTTAGCTGATTGTTGCTGGTGCTTGGTTTAGCTCGTGCTGGTTGCTGCGCTGGTGCCCTATTGCCTGCTTGGTTGCCGTTCTGTAAAGCCGCCGGAAAATGCCAAACAAGTCCTAGGTCACAACATCTTTAACAATGTTCCTTTTTAGGATAACCAGGGCCATCACAATCTGTTGTTGTGATCAGCCGGGTTCCCCCCCCCCCCCCCCACAGAGTGTGGAGAAGTGGTAAGATAGGCTGCAAATGAGAAGCAATGAGTTTATGAGTAGTATTTCATCAAAATTTATTTGTGATGGCAGACCACACTGAGTGCTTATATGTGAAACTTCAGAATGGACAGATGTACTGATCTACACAGGTGGGTCCGTTGTAGGAGGACAAAAAAGTGCATGGGCATTTACTGCGTGCTCTGCAGGTAGAACAGTCTAGAAGGCCAGTTGTTGACTACTAGCAGCATGACAATGGAGGTGATGGCAGTAACACAAGCTTTCATTTGGCTAGCATCGCAGGGCTATTCTCACGTGTGTTGTGTGTGCTGAGTGATTCTATGAGCATGATCCAGCGGGCTTTGTACACAGATAGTGGATCGAATCCTTGCAAAACTCCACTGTAAATGGAGTTACCTTCATCTCTGTCCCAGGGTAGGCAGGTGTTGTTGGCAATGAAAGAGCCGACAGATCATCACAGCCAGGCACGAGAAGCATACTGGACGTACAAGAAGTCTTGTCAAGTCTAGGGCTGGGACTATCAACCGTGGGACGCTGATGTATATGATGAAGGGGGAATCTGAGCGCCTATGGACATGTCCAGAATGCCGTGAAGATATTCCAAATCATAACTCATAACACATACATCTGGTTTTTGTGCAGTCTTTATCCACCCCAAGTGTGGCAGATGAGAGGAGACTGAGACTTTTGTGAAAGTATCTGTATGTTTAAATAAATATTCTTACATATCAAATGTTATTGATTAACAGAGACTGAGACACTTATGGAGGTATCTGTGTGCAAAGATAACCAAACCCTCACAAACATTACAGAAAAGAGGAGACTGAGACCCTTATGAAGGTATCTGTGTGTAAAGAGGCAAACCTCACATACCAGACATTACAGATGAGAGGAGGCCGAGACACTGATGGAGGTATCTGTGTGTAAAGAAGTTGATCTCATATAAACCAGAAATTACAGATGTGATGAGACTGAGCCCATTAAGGAGTTATCTGTGTGTAAAGAAAACAACTCCTTGAAAAACCAACATTACAAATTACAGATGACAGAAGACTGACATCCTTCTGAAGGTATCTGCGAGTGAAGAAGACGATCCCTTACAAAGCAAACACTACCGATGTACACTTACAATGATTGTTCGGGGAGGCTGTGTGGGCAACGGTGGAGCCACAGAAGCCCCAGAAGAAGAGGATGACGTCCTTGACTCTCGACGAGCAGGGATAGGTGGTCCCACACTAGGGGCTGGGGGTTTCACACTGGGCTCCGACGTGTGATTGTTCACACTTGGGGTCGGTGTGGTGTCTGCACTAGAGCTGATCTGTTTCTCCTTCTCATCCAGAGCTCTGAGAACTTCGTCCATGAAAGATGGGCCGAAATCGAATGAAGTCTGAAACGAAGGGCATCAGATAACATTATTAAAAGTAAAGTCAGCTAAATATCCTTTAAAATAAAGTTATGAACCCTTTTCACTGGCACATCTGGCACATGAATTCAAATTATGCTAGACTCATCGACACTTGATGGGTGATATGGTCAACTTCCCGCCAGCCATTTTCACTTCCTAGGACCTTCTTAGAATTAATTTTAGGCTTGTTCGACCTGGTAGCCAAGGCTGTTTTTAAAAATTCATAAATCAGAAAACTGTCATAGAAACTTTTCAACAAAGCAGGATAAAGGATATAGCTATCATATAAAGCGGTATAAAGGATACAGCTATCCCATAAAGCAATATAAAGGATATAGGTATCATACAAAGCAGTGTAAATGATACAGCTATCACAGGAAGCAGTATAAAAGATATTGCTATCATATAAATCAGTATAAAGGACATAGCTATCCTATGAAGCAGTATAAAGGCCACATCTGTCACATAAACTGTCATGTAAAGCAGAGATTGGACTAAGTCGTCATCCTTCAAGTCAAGTCCATGTCAAGTCCCAAGAATCCTTCCAAGTCGAGTCCTGAGTCACGTCACCTTATGTTTTGGGTCATCTGCAAGTTGTGCATGGGCAAATGTTTACAGATAAAAAAAAATGGAACACACAAAAAATCTGAAATAGCAGGGGAAAAAATCACTAATTGTAAAATGTTAGAAGTCAAATGTTAAATCTTGACTGATAAATCGAAACAGTATTTTTTCTGTCCAATGTGACGTAATTTACTAATCTCATAGTAGCCCATGCAAAGAACGAGCCATACCAAGTCGTCACACTACAAGTTGCAAGATCAAACCCCAAGTCGAGTCAACAGTAGTTAATTTTGTAATTCAAGTTGCAAGTTTGCACGAGTCCAAGTTGCGCGACTTGAGTCCCAACACAGCATATAGCTGTCATAGTAGCTATCATATAAAGCAGTATGCAGGATGTTGCTGTCACAGAAATTAGCAAACTGAGCAGCATAAAGGATGTTGCTGTCACAGAAATTAGCAAACTGAGCAGCATAAAGGATGTTGCTGTCACAGAAATTAGCAAACTGTGCAGCATAAAGGATATTGCTGTCACAGAAATTAGCAAACTGTGCAGCATAAAGGATATTGCTGTCACAGAAATTAGCAAACTGTGCAGCATAAAGGATGTTGCTGTCACAGAAATTAGCAAACTGTGCAGCATAAAGGATGTTGCTGTCACAGAAATTAGCAAACTGTGCAGCATAAAGGATGTTGCTGTCACAGAAATTAGCAAACTGTGCAGCATAAAGGATGTTGCTGTCACAGAAATTAGCAAAATGTGCAGCATAAAGGATGTTGCTGTCACAGAAATTAGCAAACTGTGCAGCATAAAGGATGTTGCTGTCACAGAAATTAGCAAACTGTGCAGCATAAAGGATGTTGCTGTCACAGAAATTAGCAAACTGTGCAGCATAAAGGATGTTGCTGTCACAGAAATTAGCAAACTGTGCAGCATAAAGGATGTTGCTGTCACAGAAATTAGCAAACTGTGCAGCATAAAGGATGTTGCTGTCACAGAAATTAGCAAACTGAGCAGCATAAAGGATGTTGCTGTCACAGAAATTAGCAAACTGTTGCTGTCACAGATACCATCATAAAGAAAAGTGTAAAGGGTACTAGTATCATTCAAAATTGTCATTTAATGCAGTAAAAAGGATATAGCAAACACAGAAACTGTCATATAAAGCAGCATTAAAGATGTAGCTGTCAAAGAGACTCATGTATATGAAAGTTTAAAGGACACAGATGTCATAAAGGTTACAGTAACCAAAGAAACTCTCATATATGAAAGTTTAAAGGACACAGATGTCATAAAGGTTACAGTAACCAAAGAAACTCTAATATATGAAAGTTTAAAGGACACAGATGACATAAAGGTTACAGTAACCAAAGAAACTCTCATATATGAAAGTTTCAAGGACACAGATGTCATAAAGGTTACAGTAACCAAAGAAACTCTCATATATGAAAGTTTAAAGGACACAGATGTCATAAAGGTTACAGTAACCAAAGAAACTCTAATATATGAAAGTTTAAAGGACACAGATGACATAAAGGTTACAGTAACCAAAGAAACTCTCATATATGAAAGTTTAAAGGACACAGATGACATAAATGTTTCAGTAACCAAAGAAACTCTAATATATGAAAGTTTAAAGGACACAGATGACATAAAGGTTACAGTAACCAAAGAAACTCTAATATATGAAAGTTTAAAGGACACAGATGACATAAATGTTTCAGTAACCAAAGAAACTCTCATATATGAAAGTTTAAAGGACACAGATGACATAAAGGTTACAGTAACCAAAGAAACTCTCATATATGAAAGTTTAAAGGACACAGATGACATAAAGGTTACAGTAACCAAAGAAACTCTCATATATGAAAGTTTAAAGGACACAGATGACATAAAGGTTACAGTAACCAAAGAAACTCTCATATATGAAAGTTTAAAGGACACAGATGACATAAAGGTTACAGTAACCAAAGAAACTCTCATATATGAAAGTTTAAAGGACACAGATGACATAAAGGTTACAGTAACCAAAGAAACTCTCATATATGAAAGTTTAAAGGACACAGATGACATAAAGGTTACAGTAACCAAAGAAACTCTCATATATGAAAGTTTAAAGGACACAGATGACATAAATGTTTCAGTAACCAAAGAAACTCTAATATATGAAAGTTTAAAGGACACAGATGACATAAAGGTTACAGTAACCAAAGAAACTCTAATATATGAAAGTTTAAAGGACACAGATGACATAAATGTTTCAGTAACCAAAGAAACTCTCATATATGAAAGTTTAAAGGACACAGATGACATAAAGGTTACAGTAACCAAACAAACTCTCATATATGAAAGTTTAAAGGACACAGATGACATAAAGGTTACAGTAACCAAAGAAACTCTCATATATGAAAGTTTAAAGGACACAGATGACATAAAGGTTACAGTAACCAAAGAAAAACTCTCATATATGAAAGTTTAAAGGACACAGATGACATAAAGGTTACAGTAACCAAAGAAACTCTCATATATGAAAGTTTAAAGGACACAGATGACATAAAGGTTACAGTAACCAAAGAAACTCTCATATATGAAAGTTTAAAGGACACAGATGACATAAAGGTTACAGTAACCAAAGAAACTCTCATATATGAAAGTTTAAAGGACACAGATGACATAAAGGTTACAGTAACCAAAGAAACTCTCATATATGAAAGTTTAAAGGACACAGATGACATAAAGGTTACAGTAACCAAAGAAACTCTCATATATGAAAGTTTAAAGGACACAGATGACATAAAGGTTACAGTAACCAAAGAAACTCTCATATATGAAAGTTTAAAGGACACAGATGACATAAAGGTTACAGTAACCAAAGAAACTCTCATATATCAAAGTTTAAAGGACACAGATGACATAAAGGTTACAGTAACCAAAGAAACTCTCATATATCAAAGTTTAAAGGACACAGATGACATAAAGGTTACAGTAACCAAAGAAACTCTCATATATCAAAGTTTAAAGGACACAGATGTCATAAAGGTTACAGTAACCAAAGAAACTCTAATATATGAAAGTTTAAAGGACACAGATGTCATAAAGGTTACAGTAACCAAAGAAACTCTAATATATGAAAGTTTAAAGGACACAGATGTCATAAAGGTTACAGTAACCAAAGAAACTCTCATATATCAAAGTTTAAAGGACACAGATGTCATAAAGGTTACAGTAACCAAACAAACTCTCATATATAATAGTTTAAAGGACAGCTACCAAAATCAAAGAAACTTGTATAAAACAAAAAAAAGGACATAACAACCAAAGAAAGTGTTGTACAAAGCAACATAAAAGACATGACTACAAAAGAATGTATTGTATTTAAGGACATAACAACTTTAAAAAGGTGTGGAATAAAGCAACCAAATCAATCAAAAAGAGTGTTTTATAAAGAAATGTAAAAAGCCTCTCAACCAAAGAAAGTGTCATAAACTAATATTAAAGACCTAACAACCAAAGAAACTGCCATTTAAAACAAGTTAAAGGACATAGCAACAGAAGAAAGTGATAAGGCAACATATAGGACATAGTGTCATATAAAACAGCAATAAAGGCATAGCAATCGGAGAAAGTGCCAAATAAAGCAGCATAAAGGGCATAGCAATGAAGCATAAAGGGCATCGCAATTGGAGAAAGCGTCATATAAAGCAGCATAAAGTTCATAGCAATCAGAGAAAGTCTCATATAAAGCAGCATAAAGTTCATAGCAATCAGAGAAAGTCTCATATAAAGCAGCATAAAGTTCATAGCAATCAGAGAAAGCCTCATATAAAGCAGCATAAAGTTCATAGCAATCAGAGAAAGCCTCATATAAAGCAGCATAAAGTTCATAGCAATCAGAGAAAGCCTCATATAAAGCAGCATAAAGTTCATAGCAATCAGAGAAAGCCTCATATAAAGCAGCATAAAGTTCATAGCAATCAGAGAAAGCCTCATATAAAGCAGCATAAAGTTCATAGCAATCAGAGAAAGCCTCATATAAAGCAGCATAAAGGGCATAGCAATTAGAGAAAGCCTCATATAAAGCAGCATAAAGGGCATAGCAATTAGAGAAAGTCTCATATAAAGCAGCATAAAGTTCATAGCAATCAGAGAAAGCCTCATATAAAGCAGCATAAAGGGCATAGCAATCAGAGAAAGCCTCATATAAAGCAGCATAAAGTTCATAGCAATCAGAGAAAGTCTCATATAAAGCAGCATAAAGTTCATAGCAATCAGAGAAAGTCTCATATAAAGCAGCATAAAGTTCATAGCAATCAGAGAAAGCCTCATATAAAGCAGCATAAAGTTCATAGCAATCAGAGAAAGCCTCATATAAAGCAGCATAAAGGGCATAACAATGAAAGAAAGTGTCATAGACAGCAGCATAAGGGGGATCGCAATTAGAGAAAGTCTCATATAAAGCAACACACAGGACCCAGAACATCGTCTAGTTTGAGAATGGAGGTGGAGGCAGTCACTGCTGCCTTCGCTGGCTTGAGAATCAGCTGTACACACATGCTGTGATTGTCACTGACTCACAGAGCATGTTGAGAAAGGTGGAGACAGGTATGCTTGGTGCAGAGTGGCAGGCATTACTCCAGAGGTCCCGGGTAGTATCCTTTAGATATTCTCTCCAGGTCCTGCCGGTATGTTGGGAAATGAAAGGCAGAAGACTGGCCGGTTCTGCACCACTTGGTGGTGAACTGATGTATGACAAGCTAGACATTGTGAGGGCCCTCTGAAAGAGAGTGAACAGTGAGGAAGCGCAAATAGATCATTACTGTCTGAGGAGAATGGCGCTGCAAGGAGTTACCAGGGGATCTGGCTGATGCTCAACACTCAAGGAAAGGGCGAGACGGATATACAATCAGTTACTGGTGCCATCAGAATTGGAACTCTTTGTTTTGCTGCTGAAGATGGGGACAGAGTGCTTATGGGGGTGCCCCAGGTGCTATGATGTTGATCCTCAATTCAACATTCAACAGGACGCAGAAACAACAAAATGTCACAAAAACCCAGCATTCACAAAAAAGTTTCATACAAAGTAACATAAAGGGCACAGTAATCATATAAACTGTCACACAAAGCAGCAACAACAACAAAAAACCAGAAACTCACTCCCAAATCTGGCATCTTGAAGTCGGAGAAGAGTGAATCATCCTCCACATCCAGGTAGTGAGGGCTGTGTCTGCCATCATGGTCAGTGTGAAATGTGGAGTGGCTGTTCAGTGACTCCTGGCTCATCCTACGGGTGGGAGATACATGTAAGATGTGTACAACTACAGACAATGCACATCAACATGGTAGTGTACTTATGTCTGCATGCTTGGACGTGTCTTTTTCTTCTTCTGTGCTTGTCTTTAAAAGGGAAGCTGGCATGTTTTGTTGCAGTTTACAGCTAGGCTGCAATATCTGCACTTTTTGGTGCAACACATTCAATTTCATAAAAGTCCAAATTCGTTGTCTTTTACAACATGCGGTGCTTTATTATTATCCTACCCCGAACAGGGGAAATCCGCAGGTCAAAGGACAGTCTAATATTTCGGGGGGTGGTAGATAGGCTGCATGCAGTCGTGGGACCTAGGCTGGATGCAGTCGTGGTACCTAGGCTGCACTCTCTCGTGGGACGTAGGTGGTTTGGGGTTAGGGCCAGTTCTAGATGTTTTGGGGTCGTTAAAAGCATAAGAAAGCCAGGAAACCCAGTCTTATCACTCTATAAAATGTGGGAATGTCCTGTGACGTCATCTTGGGTAGGATATTAATAAAGAACCCAACATGCTATTCAACTGTTGAATCTGGTGTGCAAATCTATACGACAGTGTGTAAATCTACTTGACACAGTTTTTAAATCTGCACGACATGGTGTGTAAATCTACATGACAGTGTGTGTAAATCTATTGTATGTCACGACTGTCTGTGTCTGTATGACATGACTGTCTGTGCCTGTATGACATGACTGTTTGCGCCTGTATGACATGACTATTTGTGCCTGTATGACATGCCTTTTTGCCTGTATAACACCAGTTTGTGCCTGCATGACACCACTGTCTGTGCCTGTATGACATGACTGTTTGTGCCTGTATGACATGACTGTCTGAGCCTGTATGACATGACTGTCTGAGCCTGTATAACATGACTGTTTGTGCCTGTATGACATGACTGTCTGAGCCTGTATGACATGACTGTATGAGCCTGTATAACATGACTGTGCCTGTATGACATGACTGTCTGAGCCTGTATAACATGACTGTTTGTGCCTGTATGACATGACTGTCTGAGCCTGTATAACATGACTGTTTGTGCCTGTATGACATGACTGTCTGAGCCTGTATAACATGACTGTTTGTGCCTGTATGACATGACTGTCTGAGCCTGTATAACATGACTGTTTGTGCCTGTATGACATGACTGTTTGTGCCTGTATGACATGACTGTCTGTGCCTGTATAACATGACTGTTTGTGCCTATATGACATGACTGTTTGTGCCTGTATGACATGACTGTTTGTGCCTGTATGACATGACTGTTTGAGCCTGTATAACATGACTGTTTGTGCCTGTATGACATGACTGTTTGTGCCTGTATGACATGACTGTTTGCGCCTGTATGACACCAGTTTGTGCCTGCATGACACCACTGTCTGTGCCTGTATGACATGACTGTTTGTGCCTGTATGACATGACTGTTTGTGCCTGTATGACATGACTGTTTGTGCCTGTATGACATGACTGTCTGTGCCTGTATGACATGACTGTTTGTGCCTGTATGACATGACTGTTTGTGCCTGTATGACATCAGTTTGTGCCTGCATGACACCACTGTCTGTGCCTGTATGACATGACTGTTTGTGCCTGTATGACATGACTGTCTGTGCCTGTATGACATGACTGTTTGTGCCTGTATGACATGACTGTCTGTGCCTGTATGACATGACTGTTTGTGCCTGTATAACACCAGTTTGTGCCTGCATGACACCACTGTCTGTGTCTGTATGACATGACTGTCTGTGCCTGTATGACATGACTGTCTGTGCCTGTATAACATGACTGTTTGTGCCTGTATGACATGACTGTCTGTGCCTGTATAACATGACTGTCTGTGCCTGTATGACATGACTGTTTGTGCCTGTATGACATGACTGTTTGTGCCTGTATGACACCAGTTTGTGCCTGCATGACACCACTGTCTGTGCCTGTATGACATGACTGTTTGTGCCTGTATGACATGACTGTTTGTGCCTGTATGACACCAGTTTGTGCTTGTATGACACCAGTTTGTGCCTGCATGACACCACTGTCTGTGCCTGTATGACATGACTGTTTGTGCCTGTATGACATGACTGTCTGTGCCTGTATGACATGACTGTCTGTGCCTGTATAACATGACTGTCTGAGCCTGTATGACATGACTGTTTGTGCCTGTATAACACCAGTTTGTGCCTGCATGACACCACTGTCTGTGCCTGTATGACATGACTGTTTGCGCCTGTATGACATGACTGTTTGTGCCTGTATAACACCAGTTTGTGCCTGCATGACACCACTGTCTGTGCCTGTATGACATGACTGTTTGTGCCTGTATGACATGACTGTTTGTGCCTGTATGACATGACTGTTTGTGCCTGTATGACATGACTGTCTGTGCCTGTATGACATGACTGTTTGTGCCTGTATGACATGACTGTTTGTGCCTGTATGACATCAGTTTGTGCCTGCATGACACCACTGTCTGTGCCTGTATGACATGACTGTTTGTGCCTGTATGACATGACTGTCTGTGCCTGTATGACATGACTGTTTGTGCCTGTATGACATGACTGTCTGTGCCTGTATGACATGACTGTTTGTGCCTGTATAACACCAGTTTGTGCCTGCATGACACCACTGTCTGTGTCTGTATGACATGACTGTCTGTGCCTGTATGACATGACTGTCTGTGCCTGTATAACATGACTGTTTGTGCCTGTATGACATGACTGTCTGTGCCTGTATAACATGACTGTCTGTGCCTGTATGACATGACTGTTTGTGCCTGTATAACACCAGTTTGTGCCTGCATGACACCACTGTCTGTGTCTGTATGACATGACTGTCTGTGCCTGTATGACATGACTGTCTGTGCCTGTATAACATGACTGTTTGTGCCTGTATGACATGACTGTCTGTGCCTGTATAACATGACTGTCTGTGCCTGTATGACATGACTGTTTGTGCCTGTATGACATGACTGTTTGTGCCTGTATGACACCAGTTTGTGCCTGCATGACACCACTGTCTGTGCCTGTATGACATGACTGTTTGTGCCTGTATGACATGACTGTTTGTGCCTGTATGACACCAGTTTGTGCCTGTATGACACCAGTTTGTGCCTGCATGACACCACTGTCTGTGCCTGTATGACATGACTGTTTGTGCCTGTATGACATGACTGTCTGTGCCTGTATGACATGACTGTCTGTGCCTGTATAACATGACTGTCTGTGCCTGTATGACATGACTGTTTGTGCCTGTATAACACCAGTTTGTGCCTGCATGACACCACTGTCTGTGCCTGTATGACATGACTGTTTGCGCCTGTATGACATGACTGTTTGTGCCTGTATAACACCAGTTTGTGCCTGCATGACACCACTGTCTGTGCCTGTATGACATGACTGTTTGTGCCTGTATGACATGACTGTTTGTGCCTGTATGACATGACTGTTTGTGCCTGTATGACATGACTGTCTGTGCCTGTATGACATGACTGTTTGTGCCTGTATGACATGACTGTTTGTGCCTGTATGACATCAGTTTGTGCCTGCATGACACCACTGTCTGTGCCTGTATGACATGACTGTTTGTGCCTGTATGACATGACTGTCTGTGCCTGTATGACATGACTGTTTGTGCCTGTATGACATGACTGTCTGTGCCTGTATGACATGACTGTTTGTGCCTGTATAACACCAGTTTGTGCCTGCATGACACCACTGTCTGTGTCTGTATGACATGACTGTCTGTGCCTGTATGACATGACTGTCTGTGCCTGTATAACATGACTGTTTGTGCCTGTATGACATGACTGTCTGTGCCTGTATAACATGACTGCCTGTGCCTGTATGACATGACTGTTTGTGCCTGTATGACATGACTGTTTGTGCCTGTATGACACCAGTTTGTGCCTGCATGACACCACTGTCTGTGCCTGTATGACATGACTGTTTGTGCCTGTATGACATGACTGTTTGTGCCTGTATGACACCAGTTTGTGCCTGTATGACACCAGTTTGTGCCTGCATGACACCACTGTCTGTGCCTGTATGACATGACTGTTTGTGCCTGTATGACATGACTGTCTGTGCCTGTATGACATGACTGTCTGTGCCTGTATAACATGACTGTCTGAGCCTGTATGACATGACTGTTTGTGCCTGTATAACACCAGTTTGTGCCTGCATGACACCACTGTCTGTGCCTGTATGACATGACTGTTTGCGCCTGTATGACATGACTGTTTGTGCCTGTATAACACCAGTTTGTGCCTGCATGACACCACTGTCTGTGCCTGTTTGACATGACTGTTTGTGCCTGTATGACACGACTGTCTGTGCCTGTATGACATGACTGTCTGTGCCTGTATGACATGACTGTCTGTGCCTGTATGACGTGACTGTCTGTGCCTGTATGACATGACTGTCTGTGCCTGTATGACATGACTGTCTGTGCCTGTATGACATGACTGTCTGTGCCTGTATAACATGACTGTCTGTGCCTGTATGACATGACTGTCTTAGCCTGTATGACATGACTGTCTGTGCCTTTATGACATGACTGTCTGTGCCTGTATGACATGACTGTCTGTGCCTGTATGACATGACTGTCTGTGCCTGTATGACATGACTGTTTGTGCCTGTATGACACCACTGTCTGTGCCTGTATGACATGACTGTTTGCGTCTGTATGACATGACTGTCTGTGCCTGTATGACATGAATGTCTGTGCCTGTATGACATGATTGACTGTGCCTGTATGACATGACTGTCTGTGCCTGTATGGCACAACTGTCTCTGCCTGTATGACACGACTGTCTGTGCTCATTTGACATTGTGTCTATACAACAAGTTATATGTAGGGTATGTTGTCTTTATAACACATTAGAAAACACAAACAAGTGCTTACCAGGTTTGCTTGTAGCCATTTCTGTCATTGTCCAGTGAGTCCTGGGAGCCACTAGGGCGAACATGGCCATTGTGGTCAGGGCTGTCCCCAGCATGGGGCAGGGACATCACAGATGAACCACGGCTCGAACCTCCACCTTTAAGGAATAAAAACATCTTTGGTAATAAAGCACAGGGAAAAAAACAGGAACAAGAGAAGTAGATAATTAAGATGGGGAAGGCAATAAATGAGCTGTATATGAAGGCAAACATAGAGCAATGTGGTCGAGTGGGAAGAAGGCTCTTTCTTTGGATACATTTATATAGGAAGCATGTGGAGATTAGGTGGCGTCCGTCGTCGTGAGTCCGATTCCTAATTCCAAAGTACCGCGATCGAAACCCACTTCTGGCTGCGCTGATTTTTATCATGGTATGGGACGTCGCAGGTCGACCCAGCCTAAAAAGTTACCAGGATGGATAACCTTGGGAAGTAAAGACGGCCGGAGTAATGCTGACCACATTACCTAGCTAGTGCCGATGGTCTGTAGAAATATGGGTGCTCTTCCCATATGCCCGATGCGCCTAAAAACGGATGTTTACTTTACTTTTTGTGGAGATTAGAAGTTTAATAATAAAAAAAAAAAAAAACAGTCATGACGTGGATTCCAACCAGAGGCCATTGGACTGGCAGGCAAGCGTACAGCCAATATGCTACCATGACTACCATTAGGAGGAAACAGACTGAAAAATATTAGGATTATAGGAAATGATTGGCAAAAATGGCGTAGGGAGACAGAGAAAGATGTATGCAAAGAAATCACACAATGAAGGAAAGATACGACGTAAAACCAAATTTAAACAACACATCTCGCACAGCTAAATTATGCTGCAAAAATAGGCGAAGAAATAAGAGAAATCATATGCAACAATAGTTAGGTAAGGGGGAGGCAACATAATAGATACATCTTGAGGAGAAGCGGACAGTGAATCACTAAAAAAGACACTGAGATGGGAGATGGGAAACAAATAGGTTGAAGAAAGGAGGACATCCAAGAGAAACTTAAAGTGTTAAGAGAGTCCATAGGCGCAGGAGCGAATCACATCCATCATATTGAAAGGACTGCACAGAAGAGAATGGACAGGACTATGTGATGTATAACGGATGATGATGATGACAAAGAGATAACAGTTTAAAGGAGATTGAAGAGACACTCCCTATGTCGGTTCCAGGGAATTATTTTAGAGGGGAAAAAAGAGAACAGAAACACTGTCACCATAACAAGCATGTCGTAAAATTAGACTAATTACATGCGCTTCCTTCAAGGTCATAGTGCATGTGCCTGAGAGGCAAGAAACCAACAGTCTGCAATAAGACTTAAGTCCAGAATTGGACCAACAACCAGAACTTTCCGTTGGAGTTTACAGCCAGTGAACGTGAAGAAGAAGTGTTGGGGATATCGCAACCAACCTGTAAACCACAACACAATATGCTGACCACCTATTTCAGGACAAATGATGACAATCAAGAAGAAAATACTGAAGGAGCAGGAAGAGAAGAAGAAAATATTGCAGGAGGAAGAAGAGGAAGAAGCAAAGAAGGAGAGGGGAATAGAAAGTCCTGATCCCCCCCCCCCCCCCCCCCCCCCCCACTGGTCAAGACATTAACAACATGACACAACCATAACACCAATCACACACTGTGGAATGACACCAGTCACCATACCACATACACACCTGATCCCACTTTGACAGGCAGCTTGTCATAGTTGTCCCCGATAAAGGAAACATCCCCAAACACAGCACCATCATAACCGATGTGCCCGGTGTGTCGGAGATCATTCTGTGGGTGGCTGATCATGTCTGCTCTAATCTTTCTGCCAGATTTCCTGTTGGACTCTGTTGAATGAAATAAATCAAAACTAAGCAAAACAAACATATAAGTAGTACGACAAAAAACAAAAATGCAGCAGAGCTAATGGAATGAGAACTTGGGTGGCCCAGCCTCATAGCCTTGGTTGGCAGCTGGTTTAGGAGGGAAAACAAACACAGCACTGCTTCTCTGATCCAGCAACATGCTTTGTTTCACTGATATTTGTGCTATATGTTCTCCAGAGTTACCAAAGCAGGCGGAGAGACAAAGCAGGCTGAGAGACAAAGCAGGCCTGAGAGACAAAGCAGGCCTGAGAGACAAAGCAGGCCTGAGAGACAAAGCAGGCTGAGAGACAAAGCAGGCTGAGAGATAAAGCAAGCTGAGACAAAGCAGGCCTGAGAGACAAAGCAGGCCTGAGAGACAAAGCAGGCCTGAGAGACAAAGCAGGCCTGAGAGACAAAGCAGGCTGAGAGATAAAGCAGGCTGAGAGACAAAGCAGGCTGAGAGATAAAGCAGGCCTGAGAGACAAAGCAGGCCTGAGAGACAAAGCAGGCTGAGAGACAAAGCAGGCTGAGAGACAAAGCAGGCCTGAGAGACAAAGCAGGCTGAGACAAAGCAGGCCTGAGAGACAAAGCAGGCCTGAGAGACAAAGCAGGCTGAGAGACAAAGCAGGCTGAGAGACAAAGCAGGCTGAGACAAAGCAGGCCTGAGAGACAAAGCAGGCCTGAGAGACAAAGCAGGCTGAGAGATAATGCAGGCTGAGAGACAAAGCAGGCCTGAGAGACAAAGCAAGCCTGAGAGACAAAGCAGGCCTGAGAGACAAAGCAAAGCCTGAGAGACAAAGCAGGCCGAGAGACAAAGCAGGCCTGAGAGACAAAGCAGGCCTAAGAGACAAAGCAGGCTGAGAGATAATGCAGGCTGAGACAAAGCAGGCCTGAGAGACAAAGCAAGCCTGAGAGACAAAGCAGGCTGAGACAAAGCAGGCCTGAGAGACAAAGCAGGCCTGAGAGACAAAACAGGCCTGAGAGACAAAGCAGGCCTGAGAGATAAAGCAGGCCTGAGATACAAAGCAGGCTGAGAGACAAAGCAGGCCTGAGAGACAAAGCAGGCCTGAGAGACAAAGCAGGCTGAGAGACAAAGCAGGCTGAGAGACAAAGCAGGCCTGAGAGACAAAGCAGGCTGAGATAAAGCAGGCCTGAGAGACAAAGCAGGCCTGAGAGACAAAGCAGGCTGAGAGACAAAGCAGGCCTGAGAGACAAAGCAGGCCTGAGAGGGATCATATTGCATGGGCAACATACAGTCTCTATAATACTGCCCAGGTTTTGTGCCTATTATTATTAATTTTTTACGTCCTTATTAGGATGAATTTTTTTGTTTTTTTGAAGCCTCACCCTGGCTTTTGCCAGGGGCCGCAATATAGGCAGGCCATAAATATTGCCAATTGTCTGAACGCGGTTTCTGGGACCTGTCCACGGTGATTCTCATCCACATGGTGGCACTTTGTGTCATCGGGTATTTATCGCTTGTGTGATGTCCTAGTGGGGTAGAAAGTCAGTCAGTCAGTCAGTGCCTACTAATGTAACGAGAATCTAGGAAAAGATTGTTTCATATGTTAGGATGCTCAGCAGAAAAAGCCTGCTAATGTAACGAGAATCTAGGAAAAGATTGTTTCATATGTTAGGATGCTCAGCAGAAAAAGCCTGCTAATGTAACGAGAATCTAGGAAAAGATTGTTTCATATGTTAGGATGCTCAGCAGAAAAAGCCTGCTAATGTAACAAGAATCTAGGAAAAGATTGTTTCATATGTTAGGATGCTCAGCAGAAAAAGCCTGCTAATGTAACGAGAATCTAGGAAAAGATTGTTTCATATGTTAGGATGCTCAGCAGAAAAAGCCTGCTAATGTAACGAGAATCTAGGAAAAGATTGTTTCATATGTTAGGATGCTCAGCAGAAAAAGCCTGCTAATGTAACGAGAATCTAGGAAAAGATTGTTTCATATGTTAGGATGCTCAGCAGAAAAAGCCTGCTAATGTAACGAGAATCTAGGAAAAGATTGTTTCATATGTTAGGATGCTCAACAAGAAAGCCTGCTAATGTAACGAGAATCTAGGAAAAGATTGTTTCATATGTTAGGATGCTCAACAAGAAAGCCTGCTAATGTAACGAGAATCTAGGAAAAGATTGTTTCATATGTTAGGATGCTCAGCAGAAAAAGCCTGCTAATGTAACGAGAATCTAGGAAAAGATTGTTTCATATGTTAGGATGCTCAACAAGAAAGCCTGCTAATGTAACGAGAATCTAGGAAAAGATTGTTTCATATGTTAGGATGCTCAACAAGAAAGCCTGCTAATGTAACGAGAATCTAGGAAAAGATTGTTTCATTTGATAAGATGCTTAGCAAGAAAGCCTGATTACGTAATGAAAATATCTTTGCACTTAAACTCCTAGAGTCAAATAGACAGAGAGCAGGACAATTCTGTGTTGGATCAAACACACATCAGGAAAGCCTGTCAACATAGCTGGAATGTTCTTACAGGTACTAACATCAGAGAGGAAGAAATGAAAAGCATGTTGTAATAGTCAACTAATTAGGAGTCAAAGTCAGAGTGCATCTACCTGATAGGTGAGGAACCAGCAGTCTGGAAACAACCAAACCATAATTGTAAAATGAATGTGCACACAAAAATTCAAGTTCTGGAACATGAGTAACGTCCAGACGTGGATGAACAACCAGAATTTTCTGCTGGTGTAAACATAAAGAAGAAGAACCTCAAAGGCTAGAAATGCTGAAGAAAAAGAATATATTCTAGAAAGTTGAACTGCTGCCACATTAAGAAAACCTATTTATATTGACATAAAATAGCCCTAGAGCTGTCAGTTTAACCAAGAATCTGAACATTACCATGTGTCAACGCCTTACCTTTCCTGGCAAGAGAGGCAGTTTTTGCTGTCACTGGACTAAACTTGGGTTCAATAAATGGGACAGCATTTGTGGGGTCAAAAAGTCCGCTCTTGCCGTTGGCCAGGACACCCCTCCAGACTAAGCCAGGAGGGGAGGTTGTGGGAGGGCTGCAGAGAGAAATAACATCATTTAGAAATGTGTTGACGATAATTAAAGATGATACTTATGAAGATTATGTAGATAACAATAATACAGATGAGGGTGATGAAGATCAAGTTGCTGACAACAAAGATTCTAATCGGTAAGAACGATTTTAAAATTATTTCACACAACAACCAAATTAAATAACATAACAAAATAACATCGCAAGGCTGAGAATCAAACTGGCAAAAACCCCTGAAACCCTGTTCAACCATATAGCAGTTATATTCTATCACGAGTGATGAAGACTACTTTTAATCCAAAGAAGTAACGATTATGAGTACGAAGGTGGCTGATTTGTCCAATATGAGCCTGAAAAGTTCTTGAGCAGTGCAGACAACAGATGGAAGCCGCAGTAAGTGTGGGGTTAGCAATACAGTTCTTTCTAGTCTGTCTCCGTTTCTCTGCCTGTACAACCTCTGCTGCCTGACAAGCCGATGCACCATGCCTGAGGGATGTACCCCATCTAGAACGGTCCTGTGCAGCAGCCTCCCATGTCGCTGTGTTGATGCCAAAAGAGTTGAGAGCAGTTTTGACGGTGTCCTATTGGGTCACCCTATGGTTAACCAGTGTGGGCGGATCGAGACAAAAGTTACTAATTGAATAACAAAACAGTCAGTCTAAACAACGTTACTGATTCACACAACTAGACTACACATTAGGCACCAACTTATTCAAAACAACTAGACCCAAAAAAACCCACAAATAACTGACACATAAAGACAATCAAACTAACCAAACAGTTACTGACTTAGAGAATGAGATGAAAAGTTACGAACTTACACAACCATATACAAAATGTTACTGACTCAAAGAACTAGATAATAATTTTAAAAAAAAAATGGCCTCACTCACATAACTAGATAAACAAGTAACTGACTCACATGATCAGCTAAGTGTTTGTGTCTCACTAGTCCATATGACTAAGCCATCAGGGTAATAGTCTCTTTGCCTCCCCTTGCTCTCTTTACATCAATATTGCCAGACGTTACAAAGCTCTTGAGGCCATTCCTTCTTATGTCCCAAATGTCTAGATATGATTTCTCTCAACAGTTGATGGTTTTCATCCGTATCAAAGACTGCCTTGTTAATTTTTCTATTATTCTGTGATATTCTAAACACAAAAGCTACTGACTCAATAAACCAGACCACAAAAGAAAGCGACTCTTCAACATAAGACTGTGTGACACACTACATATGTTTGAAAGAAATGTTTAAAAACATTCACCTTTTGTCAATGACAACAATAATATCCCCAGCCTTGTAAGAGATATACCCTTTCTCTGTGGCAACACTGGTGTAGTCCTTGAGAGCTTTCACCTGGGTGGGCCTCAGCTGTGCAACAAACAATAGTCACAAAGAGATGAACAAGTGCATAAACAAACAGATGAATAGAAGAAATCAATATCTACATGAAGAAACAGATAAAGAAATGGGTAAACAAATGGATGTACAGTAGAAATTACCATGCAAGCATAAATAAAACACTGAACACATAGCTAAACACATGAACAGGCAGGAAGATGAGAAAGAGAAGAAGAAGCAGAAGAGGGAGAAGAATAATAATAACTGGTTAAAGCCTATGACCTACTGGGAGAAGAATGAAAAAGCAGAGAAAAATAACAAGAAGAGGAAAAATAAGAAGAAAAGAAGATGAAAATGGATGAAGAGGAAGAAGATAAAGAAGGAGGAAGAGAGGAACAGTAGCTGGCAGAGGCCTATGATGCACTATGAGGAGAAAGAAGAAGACAAAGAGGGGGATGAAAAAGGAGGAAGAAGAAGAAGATCGAATTCCTGCTGGAATCAATGTCTCTCACCTGTGGAAGTCGGACCAGGATGTCTGCAAAAGTGGGCCTGGCTTCAGGATCAATGCTCCAACACTCCAACATCAACTTATATATGTCTGTGGTACACAAGTCTGGCTGCTCTAGATGCTGTCCACTGTCTATTGCCTCTAGAATCTACGCAGATCAAATGTAATGGTAATTAGATGATACCCCGTAATTGGATGATAGTGCTCTTTTAGGGCTGGATACTGAAGAAGAAAAATAAGGAAGAAGGAAGAGGAGGAGAAAGAGGAGGAGGAACAAGAAGAAGAAAAAGAAGAAGAAAAACCCTAAGACAAAAATTGTTGAGAGAGTCTAAAGATTCAAGTCTGGATTCCACATTTATGATATCCAAAGGATTCCACAGGATGTAATCCAAATAGAGGACCAGTCCTGGCAGGCCAATGTAAAACACATAACTAAACAGAGGGGTGACACATTTGAGGCCGTAAAAATATTATATATGACCCCAAAAAAACATGCATTGATCGGCACTTATAGGTAGAAGTAGAAAGATAGAAGGACTCACTAGACAACATAAAAATCGAGCACGCCATTTAGAGGTGACAGGTTCGATTCCCGTTACAGTAACTATAGCTTTAGATTTTTATGTTGCCTAGTATGTCCTCCTATCATTATACTTCATTTACAAGTGCCGATCAATACATTGTGTGCTTGTTTATTATATATAATAGATCAATGTAAAGTATCACAGTACAGCAAGATGCTGACTAGATGATAGGCACTGATAAACCTCAAGTGTTAGGTCTTCATCACAATCAAGTGCCTTGCCCACTGACATGCGCCTCCTTAACTTGTTATCTTCAACAGCTTGTATCAACTCATGGCTGACTCCCTTCTATGCCACAAAAAATGGTTGTCAAGATTCTTCTCTTCTTCTCTAACACTATCTCTCTTTCTATATATCCATTCAGATTTTGGAATTGAAACAATAATAACCAACTTTATAAATGCATCACAGGCCCTCAACCAACTACTATTCTTCTCTTCCTCCTCCTCCATATTCATTTCTTCTTTTCTTCATAATGGTACTTATTACACAAAAGTGTGAAGGCACAAACAGACCATAATGGTACTTATTACACACAAGTGTGAGGGCACAAACAGACCATAATGGTACTTATTACACAAAAGTGTGAAGGCACAAACAGACCATAATGGTACTTATTACACAAAAGTGTGAAGGCACAAACAGACCATAATGGTACTTATTACACAAAAGTGTGAAGGTACAAACAGACCATAATGGTACTTATTACACGAAGGTGTGAAGGCACAAACAGACCATAATGGTCTGAGGAGAATGGTGCTGCACAGAGTGACCAGGGGGTCTCTGGCTGATGCTCAATACTCAAGGGAAAGAAGAGACGGATAGACAATCAGACTGTCACTGGTGCCACTGAAACTGGAACTCTGCGCTTGCTGCTGATGATGGGGATAGAGTGCTATGATGTCAACTCTTAATTCAACACTTAATTACCTAAAGCCCTTATTTATAATTCTGTAAAAGGGAAAGAGAGATGCTGACTTAGATGTGGTGGTGACCAGACCAAGTCTCACACAGGTTAAGATCTTTCTACACATCTTTTCTCTCATCCTAGAAATATGCCCCCCAACTGGCCAATGTAGACATGATCAATCGAGTGATTTTGAGTGTTACAACAACATGCCATCAAGGGACACTTATGTCAGTGAATAATCAACAAGCTCAGGATCTTGGAGAGACAGCACCAGCCGCAACCAGATCAAGCTAGGCTTGATCTCCACTACACACAGATCACCCCACCATACCAGCCAGTCTTGCAGCTTCCTGACAATGAGTTTTTTTTTCTCCATGGTTTCCCCTGAAAATGGAGCCATAGTAAACAAAAAACTTTAAAGGTTAAAGTTGAGAGAATCGACTTTATTGCACTGTGTTTTAACCTACATGGCTGTCTCTTTCCTTTCCACAGAATGGGTAGCTGCCTGCAGAGAGCATCGCACAAAGCACAAACACCACAACACTGGTGACAATCCCCAGTAAAAATGCACTCTTAAACTGAATGATACAGCCATGAAACGAATCTATGAGCTTCAGAGCAGGAAGCAAACGGCTTGACTAGTCCACCAGAGAGAGCCCCAAAGAAATCAGTATGAGTTCTGGTCCTGGTGCACTACATCAGGTTCAGCACCAGATTCCCATTACAAGAACAAAGGAATCAGCCTAGACCACTCACCTGTTGTCCATTTAAGCCAGCCCAAGGCTGGAAGCCGTAGGTGAAAAACTCCCAGAGCATCACCGCATACGACCAGACATCAGAAGCTGAGGTGAACTTCAGGTAGTTGATACATTCAGGGGCACACCTGGAAAACAAGATCAGACACCTGTCAACTTGCATACACACAAAAGTCAGAGACGTCATCTATACTTCTTGATCTTCTTACTGTCCATGCTGTGTAGCTCTGATGGTGATTGTGTATTTCCAATCAGTTCTGACACAGATGACCTTCCATCTCATAATGTCAAACTGTCCATGTGTACTTCCAATCCGTTCTGACACAGATGATCTTCCATCTCATAATGTCAAACTGTCCATGTGTACTTCCAATCAGTTCTGACACAGATGATCTTCCATCTCATAATGTCAAACTGTCCATGTGTACTTCCAATCAGTTCTGACACAGATGATCTTCCATCTCATAATGTCAAACTGTCCATGTGTACTTCCAATCAGTTCTGACACAGATGATCTTCCATCTCATAATGTCAAACTGTCCATGTGTACTTCCAATCAGTTCTGACACAGATGACCTTCCATCTCATAATGTCAAACTGTCCATGTGTACTTCCAATCAGTTCTGACACAGATGACCTTCCATCTCATAATGTCAAACTGTCCATGTGTACTTCCAATCAGTTCTGACACAGATGATCTTCCATCTCATAATGTCAAACTGTCCATGTGTACTTCCAATCAGTTCTGACACAGATGATCTTCCATCTCATAATGTCAAACTGTCCATGTGTACTTCTAATCAGTTCTGACACAGATGACCTTCCATCTCATAATGTCAAACTGTCCATGTGTACTCCCAATCAGTTCTGACACAGATGATCTTCCATCTCATAATGTCAAACTGTCCATTCTCTTCTCTCTTTGTTCCCTTCTGTCTCTTTTCCCTTCCAACTTTCATCATGATGTACCCATGTTTTCTCCTTCTCATCATGTGACCAAAGAATATAGATTGTCTCCTTCTGATGTGAGCAATCAGTTCTCTTTGTGAACCAGTTTCTTTCAAGTCATCTTCATAACTTTATAGTCTAAAAATCAGTGCAGGGTATTCTCTTTGTCTATACTAGAAATGGTGAAAATAAATCAGCTGACCCATTTTCCCCCTAACTTTTTTTCCCCCACTGTATCTCATAGGAAACTAAAAAAAAAAAGACTCATAAGTTTATATTAAACAATCAAAAGCAGACATACTATAGAGACCGTGAATGAAAAGGAAGTTAATGAAAGAAACAAAAAAGAGACAAGTGAAATATTTCTGCCACATTAAAAGACATAAGGGGGAGCCTCTGTAGTGCAATGGCAAGATGCTCTTTTGTGAATTGGAAAGTTGTGGGTTCAGGTCCTAAAGAAATGTGACTTTTCCCCCCAAAGATGACCTTAGCTCCCAGGTCAACCCAGCCTTAAATGGGTACCAGGTACAGTCTTGAGAAGTAAAGGCGGTCGGCGTGATGTTGACTATATCACCCACTGAGTGCCGACTGGTCTCTAAAATACAGGTCTAGCCTATGCTTGAAGGCACGGAAAAGGGTTGTTAAATTTTTTTTTAACTTTCACAGACTTAAAAACCATACTAGAAGGAATAGTCAAACGGAAGACAGCAAGAGGTAGATGACAATACAATTTCAGCCTGTCTTTAATAAGTCACTATTAAAAAACACACTTATTAACTCCTTTAGTACAGAGCAACTCATCTTGTGTGTGCTGGTTCCTCTATACATCTGGGCTATTCAACCTCCGGGCCAAATGCGGCCCGCCGAGACCTAGCAAGAGGCCCGTGGATCTTTGCTAATTATATTGTATTAATGACCTTTGGCCTCTGGCCTGTGATGATCTCCATCTTCAACACTTAAGCCCCTGATTTAACTAAGCTGAATAGCCCTGCTTGACATGATATGCTTCCATTAACTCCTGAATGCACATCTATTTGGTACACTAACCTATTCTACCCTAATCATTACTGTAACTCTTTCTGTTCTGTGTTATTACCTGAACTCGTTTAGACCCAGACATTTACAAATTTGTTGAATATAACATGTTAAATTAATGTCTACCTCGGAGTAAAATAATGAAGCAGCATAAGGTCTTAAATCCCACACACCTCCCCTTTTTTCCTTTTCAATAAACCATCATCATCATCAAGTGCCTTGCCAGCTGGCATAGGCCTTCATGCATCTCCACAGATATCAGTCTTTGGTGTTTTGGATCAATTCCACTGATGACATTCCTCCATGCCACTGTCGTAAGCCATCCACAATCATCTCCCTTGGTCTGCTTCTGCCTCTTCTACCAGTGATCTTTCCAGTCGTCACGATATTCTCCAGTGCTCTTTTTCTCACTAAGTGACTTTAAAAAAAAACTTTGTCTCCTTCTAATAGTTACATTTAATGTTCTACTTTCACTAGCCATTTCCAGGCAACCAATGTTAGTTATTCTGGCAGTCCAAGGTATTTGCAACATTCTTCTCAAGAACCACATCTCCAAACTCTTCTTCCATAAACGAGGCCTTGAAACTCACAAGGTGGAGATACCCTGTGGTGACACACCAGCAATAAGACACAAAAGGATCACCCGTCTTTCCAAGCCTGCTAGACATGAAATAAACATACCAGGCAATGGGTAATTTGAGACTGACGCTGAACTTGCTCTGGTAGTAATCCTGTCCTGCCCCCAGGAGTCTCGACAGACCAAGGTCGCTAATTTTTACCTGCACAGTGGAAACACAAACAGATTAGGTTCTAATCCTGAATAGGAGCGGATTTACATTAAGGACATGGATGGATAACTGGATTCATGGATTGATGGATAAACCAAAGCAGATATTTGTTAGCTAGAAATCTGATAACAAGAACAGATTAGGTTTTAACACTGAATAGGAGGGGAAACAGGGTAATGACACTGATCATTCATAAATGGATAGATGGATGGACAGACAGACAGATGATAGATGGATGATAGAAGGATGGACATGTGGATGGACATGTAGATGGACGATAGATGGACAGATTTCATGGATGATAGATGGATGGACAGATAATGGATGATAAATGGATAGAAAGATAGATGGATGATCAATAGACAGATGAAGTATAGACAGGTGGACTGACAGATAGATGGATGGACAAATGGGTGAACAAAAAAAATTAATGGATGAACGGACAAATGAATGGACAGACGGATGAAAAGACAAATGAGAGATAAAAAGATTAACTGAGACAATACAGATGGGCAGACAGATGGATGGAGGGACAGATGTTTAGATTCCCATGTGGTTTCCATGCCCTATTTTCAGGACAAAAATAACAGACCCACTCACACCAACAAGTATGTCTTAAAAGGCAACTAATAAGGGGTTTGCTAAAATCGGTACTGTTCTGAAATATGCAGCTATCAAAGACTAGCTAAGCTGTAAACTACCACATAACGTGCCAACAACCATTTTAAGAGTGAATGCGCAGTGCATGGATATGTCTATCAATGATCAACTATATAAATAAGTTATGGATCAGAACTAATGACAAAACAGACGCATGAATGATAGACAAATGATAAATCAGACACATGAATGATAGACAAATGATAAATCAGACACATGAATGATAGACAAATGATAAATCAGACACATGAATGATAGACAAATGATAAATCAGACACATGAATGATAGACATATGATAAATCAGACACATGAATGATAGACATATGATAAATCAGACACATGAATGATAGACAAATGATAAATCAGACACATGAATGATAGACATATGATAAATCAGACACATGAATGATAGACATATGATAAATCAGACACATGAATGATTGACAAATGATAATTCAGACACATGAATGATAGACAAATGATAAATCAGACACATGAATGATAGACAAAATGATAAATCAGACACATGAATGTAGACAAATGATAAATCAGACACATGAATGATTGACAAATGATAATTCAGACACATGAATGATAGACAAATGATAAATCAGACACATGAATGATAGACAAAATGATAAATCAGACACATGAATGTAGACAAATGATAAATCAGATACATGAATGATAGACAAATGATAAATCAGACAAATAAGTGAATAAAGAACAAATGATAAATCAGACAAATTAATGATAGACAAATGATAAATCAGACACATCAATGATAGACAAATGATAAATCAGACACATGAATTATAGACAAATGATAAATCAGAAACATGAATGATAGACAAATGATAAATCAGACACATGAATGATAGACAAATGATAAATCAGACACATGAATGATAGACAAATGATAAAAAAGACACATGAATAATAGACAAATAATAAATCAGACACATGAATGATAGACAAATGATAAATCAGACACATGAATGATAGACAAGTGATAAATCAGACACATGAATGATAGACAAATGATAAATCAGACAAATAAGTGAATAAAGAACAAATAATAAATCAGACAAATTAATGATAGACAAATGATAAATCAGACACATGAATGATAGACAAATGATAAATCAGACACATGAATTATAGACAAATGATAAATCAGAAACATGAATGATAGACAAATGATAAATCAGACACATGAATGATAGACAAATGATAAATCAGACACATGAATGATAGACAAATGATAAACCAGACACATGAATAATAGACAAATGATAAATCAGACACATGAATGATAGACAAATGATAAATCAGACACATGAATGATAGACAAATGATAAATCAGACAAATAAGTGAATAAAGAACAAATAATAAATTAGACACATGAATGATAGACAAATGATAAATCAGACAAATAAGTGAATAAAGAACAAATAATAAATCAGACAAATGAGTGAAGGACAAATGATTAAAGGGATAAAAGTGCGAAGGGCAAATGATAATCAGATAAGTGTGTGACAGAGAAGCTAATGTACAAAACAAAAATCTACTACAACATTCCACTGAAGGACATTACCTGGTTCTTGCTGAACACAAGAATATTCCTGGCAGCCAGGTCCCGGTGGACCAGCCGTTTACTCTCCAGATAGCTCATCCCGTCACAGACCTGCTGGGCATAGTCGCACAGTCGAGGAACTGGCAAGTCCACACGCAGGGTCATGTCTTTGAGACATTCCAGAAGGGAGCGCAGTGGCGCCAGCTCTGTTACCTATAAATGGAGCAAATTATTTGTCATCATAAAAAAAAAACCACCTACTGGGGGTTAGGGGAACCAGGGGACAGAAAATGTATGGGTCTGTCTTCTTCTTCTCAGTGCTCCCCAACTGTAAACTTCAGTGCAAAGCCCTAGTCATTCGTCCACTTCTGGACTCTGGTCCTATTCCAGAATTTGAGTTTTGCGTGCACTTCCGTTTCACAGATCTGGCTTACTTGGTTTCTTGGCTCGGAATGGAGCCAGCAGGGTACCACTGTCATCGATGACAAAACCACATCAGATTACACTCTTGTTCTGGCCAACACACCCTGCTTTTATTGATAAATCCTGGCATGGTTTGACTTTCTAAATCCCACCGTCATCCAGAGACTGGAAGTGTGCTGGACATGCAATGGGGCTTTCACCTAGACTAAAATGATTACCAGATAGTGTCCTCGAAAGAAAAGGTGGTTGGGATGATGTTAACAACATCACCTAACAAGTGCAGCACAACAAAAAGACAAAACAACCAGACTATCAACAGACACAACAAACACGCAGAGTAAACAGACACAACAAACTCACAGAGCAATAAACACACAAACAGACACCATAACCAGATCAGACAACCAACCAACCAACCAACCAAAACTAACTAACCTAAACCAACTAACTAACTAACTAACTAACTAACTAACTAACTAACTAACTAACTAACTAACTAACTAACTAACCATCTGCCATTTTCAGGGTGAACATAAGAAGAAAAATGTTGTGTCTGTTGGCTATTTGTTTCTTGTGTCTGGTTACTTTGTTTGTGATTTGATGTGTGTGCCTCTATTGTGTGTGTGAGTGAGTTCGCTAGCTGGCTGGACTAGCACTGCGGCTTTTACCTTGCCTAAAATGATTACCAGATAGTGTCCTGGGAAGTACAGGTGGTTGGCATGATGTTAACAACATCACCAGGCTAGCTAGCTGTTTTTTAGGCTCTACACATCAGATTTTAGCAAGCCAACAATTAGTAGCCTTTTATGACATGCTTGTTAGTAAGCAGTGGCCATTTATCTCTCAAACTGGGGTCCTGGAACCTACATGGAAAAGACACCCTAACAACAATACTACACACACACAACATACCAAAACAACACACACACAACAAACCCACACAACACACACAAAAAATCACACAACATACAAATGCAATAAATAGACAGACAAATACACACACACACAGATAGACAGACAATACAACAAACATAGACACGACATACAAAGACAACAAACAGACACCATGTACCAACACTACAAACACACATATATACCAATACAACAAACTCACACACAACATATCAATACAACAAACAGACAAGACAAACCCACACACAACAAAACAACACACACACAAAATAAACACAACATACCAACATGACATTGTCATCAGTGTCCAGCACAACCCCATACATCCGGACAATATACTCGTGGTCTATGTCTTGCATGATGGCTGCCTCTTTGAGGAAACTCTGAGTACCTGTGTTCATCCTCTCCCTCCTGAGTCGCTTCAAGGCAACCTGGAGCTGCAGACAAAACAATTTGGTTTCCATCAAAACAATGTTCCACACCCAGCTCACAGACTGTCTCTCCAGTTTCTTCTTATCACAACATCTAATTCACAAACTCTCGTTTTGACTGTTTCCATACAACTAGTTCACAAACTTCAGTTTCTACTGATCACAACATCTAATTCACAAACTCTCGTTTTGACTGTTACTATACAACTAGTTCACAAACTCTCCAGTTTCTACTTATCACAACATCTAATTCACAAACTCTCGTTTTGACTGTTCCCATACAAATAGTTCACAAACTCTCAAGGTTCTACTGTTTAAACTGTTATTTATTACAACATCTAGTTCACAAGCGCTCTAGTTTCTACTGTCCATTTATCACAATATCTAGTTCACAAACTCTCCAGTTTCTATTGATTATTTATCACAAGAACTAATTCACAAAGTCACAGTTTCCACAGTTCATAACAATATCTAGTTCATAAGCGTTGCAGTTTCTAGTATTTATTTATCCCAGCATCACTCTAAACAAACTTCAATTTTTACTATCCATTTATCACAACTAGTTCGCAAACTCTACTGTTCATATTATAACTAGTTCAAATACTCTTCACTTTCTATTGCTCACAAACAAAGGTTATAATTCATGCAGCATCTTTAGGATTCTGGCATAACAGTGCTGCAAAGTGAGTTTAGTATCCTACGCCACAATCTGGCTCTGGAAGTTTATTTAGGTGCACCAAACTAAATATTAGTGTTGTTTCGGCTTTGCCTGTTCATGTATTGCAAATTTCTTATAATTGTTTTTGAATATTGTGCTGTATTATTTAGGGAAAAAAAGTCATTATTTCTTTTGTTCAGTTTCAAAATGACATCACTCCCACTCCCCCAAGGCCAGACAGCAAAAGCTTTTAACTCCCTAGGGGGTGCCTGGAACTGAAGGAGGAAGTAAAGCAGTTCCAGTGAGAGCATCTAGCAGGCAGGGCCTTTGTTGAATGAGAAATGGATGGCTAAGCTGCCAAATATGGCCAACATATTTAGTCTCTCTAATAAACTTAACATTTCTACTGATTTAAACCCTAGATGGATATTTAAAAAAAAAATTATCATGGGTCAGCATTTAAAGACATTAGCTAACAACTTTGATAATTATTTCCCTGAAAATGAGGATTATTGTAAAGGTGACCCCTGGATGAATAATCCATTCTTGAATGATATATAAATCATTTCCATTTGATCATCATAAAATAAAATAAAAAATCTGATCGAGTTGACTTTGGATGTAACGCCTGTATGCAGACACAACATGCAATCACTGTGCGAGGTTTGAATAATATCACTTCTGAGTTATAGATCTATCAGATTGTTAGTCGCTTTTCGACTTCCCAATAGTGTGGGAAAAAATCTTCTCAGCCATGTTATTGTTATTGTAGTACTTCATCTATCAGAAGCAAGGCTCTAGCTACTTAATAAGATTTTCTAATCTCTATGCAACAGCAATTGTCGCATTAGACAAAAAACTGCAATTCTGTGTCATCAAATTTAACACATACAAAACTACCACATACTTTTATTTTTGTTTCTGTGTTTGCTTAGATGTTGAGTTGGCTGCAAAACAATTTTCTCTGTTCTAGTGGGTCGTGGGGGTTAAAAAGTTTGAGAAACACTGCTGTAAAAGCCAGCCAACTAATTATTTTTTTTTTTTAAGGAATGGGGGCAGTGGGTCTATTCTTTTGTTCCCCACCAAAATATGGCCAAAGAACTGATAAAGGGGCTATGGATACTATAAATTAAAACATTCTGGTCCGACACCCTCTCCAGTTGCTATGGTCCATGTAAAACAAAACCACCCTGCCCTGTCCAGTTTCTACTGACCAGGTTTCACAAAACAAATCCAGTTTACTTACCTTTTCTCCAGTTTCTGTTGTCCATATGCCTTGCTGCACAACCCCAAACTCTCCCTCTCCCAGTGTACGGCTCAACTGTATAGAATCTAGAGGTATCAGCTGCTTGCCAGGGGGTCGAACATAGGGGGCCCCCACAGACAGAGGGCGGGACCCCCTCTGTGTTGGAGGGGAGGGACTAAGAGTTCTCCCAGCTCCATCTCCACTTCCTTTTAAAATCACCTGCAGAAGACAAGTCGTAGAAAGTCATAACACAGAACAAGTTGATGGTCATATTAACACATTGTATGTTAAAACACAGAACACATTGGCGGTCATATTAACACACTGTAAGTTGAAACACAGAACAAGCTGATGGTCATATAAACACACTATATGTTAGAACAAGAACAAGTTAATGGTAATGTTAACAGTGTGTTTTAACATAGAATATATTGAATTTACATTGAATTCAATGTTAGCAATGTATGATTAGAACACAAAACAAGTTTGGTAATATTAACACACAGTAGATTAGAACATAGAACAAGTTGATGGTAATATCAACACACTGTATGTTAGAGCACAGAAAAAGTTAACAGTAATAGTAATATACAGTAGATTAGAACTTAGAACAGGCTGATAATAATGTGTGTGTTGTCCATCAAGATGATGATGACCACTCATTTTCATCAAGTATGAGTACGAAGATGACTGATGAGGCCGATGTGGGCCCGAAAAGTTCTTGGACAGTGAGGACAGGGAATGAGCTTTGTGCCAGGGAGGGGATCTCCTGCAGTCACCTTTTTGTCCATCCTTTTCTTAATAAGTCTTGCTGTTCCATTTGCTTCAAGTGTAACCGCGCCCTAGTGTGGAGCTGCACGCCATGCATTTCGGTCTTGAGAGGCAGCCTCCCAATTGGTGTCATTCATCCCAAATGCTTCGAGTGAAGACTTCAAGGTGTCCTACAAGCGTTTCTTTTGCCCGCCTTGGGAACGTTTCCCATTTTGTAGCTCACCATAGAAAAGTTTTTTGGGAGCCTGTGATCTGGCATGGGTGCCATATGACCCGCCCAACGAATCTGATACTGCATCAGTAGAGTGTGGATGCTGGGCATGGCAGCTTTCTCAAGGACTATCAGATACTTTGTCTTGTTAGTTTTCTAAGGCAGACTGTGTGAAAGTGGTTTAACTTTCCAGCCTTGCACTGGTATAATTCCATGTTTCGCAGTGTAGTTAATTCAACTGCTCTGTATACTTTAAGCTTTGTTTGCAGGGTTATGCCACTTCTGTTCCAAACAATTTTGTACAATCTGCCAAAGGCTACGATGATAATATTAACAAACTGTATGTTGACAGTAATATTACCACACAGTAAATTAGAACAAAGAGCAAGCTGATGGTGATGTTAACAAAAAGTATGTTAGAATACAAAACAATCTGATGGTAATGTTAACACACTGTATGTTAGAACACAGAAACAGTTGATGGTAATTTTAACAGTGTCCAAACACAGAATGACAATTGTATTTAGAACACAGAAGAAGTTGATGGTAATGTTAACACACTGTACGTTACAACATTCAACAAGTTGATGGTAATGTTAACACACTGTATGTAAGAACATAGAACAAGTTGATGGCAATGTTAGAGTATACTTATAAATGTACTATGTATGCACACACATATGTGTACGCCACACGCACAGTCACGAGCATTCATACTCCCATTATTGATACCGCATACCACACACAAACGAGAGAGAGGGAGAGAGAAAGAGCGAGAGAGAAAGAGCGAGAGAGAGAGAGAGACAGAGAGATAGACAGACAGAGGGGAGGAAAGGCAGATAAAGGGAGAAGGGGAAACAAGCAACAGAGAGAGGGGGTGGGGTGCATATGCAGTGGGGGAAATGGGAGTAGATGTAGAGAAGGGGTTATATATGAAGACTTTATATATCAATATTAAGTACCAAGTACAAGCCAGAGAGTATACTATGATAATTCATACGTTCATGATCACACACATATGTGTACAAACACACATAGCCACAAAATTTATACCCACACTTCTGATACCGCACACCGCAGAGAGAAAGAGAGAGAAAGAGAGAGCGAGAGAGAGAGAGGGGGGAGAGGGAGAGAGAGGGGGAGAGAGAGGGGGAGAGAGAGGGGGAGAGAGAGAGAGAGAGAGACAACAAAAAATGGTGTGCGACCAGGAGGGGAGGGGAGGGGAGGGGGTTGAAGTATGTATTGATTGGATGTAAACGCACACAGCATACACATAATGTTTAATATGGTCCCCACACAACAAAAATGTCCGCGTGCAACCTAAAACAAATACTTACACTTTTAATTCTGCCTAGCATGCCTTCCAGGTCAGGGCGACGACAACTACCACCACCAAACGCCAACGCCTCTTATAATCCAATACATACAGACTGCCCGAAATCACCACCGATAACAACAACACACTGCACGCAATCCCCTACACAACACGGAGATGCTAAAGCCGCGGGTAACAACCGAAACATTGCTGAGAAACTGGTGTGTGATTTCTTCTAGTTGCCTGTCCCCCAGCTAGCCAGGCTCAAGTGCTCCCTAGCATCCAAGTGCGTATCAAGTGTTTATAACTTTTCCCCACATCAAATTCGTTTCCACTGGAGTGTGGCTAGCCGTTGTATGTATGTAAGTTTCGAGACGGGGACGCCGAAAGTCGTTACTTAAGCCTGCTGCATTTCCTTTTTGATTGGGGAGTGGGGTAACAGAGAATACACGAGAGACCAGAAGAAGTTAATTCAAACAGTAGTGAATACAGGAGACATAATGCATACTAATGAAATGTGTAATAAATATAGGTTTAAATATACGTTGCAATAAATATAAGGAAAGCTAAAGGACTAAGAGGAGGGGGCAAAAGAAACGCGAAGCAAATATGCTGGAGGAGGGGCAGCAGAAGTAGGGAGAAGGGATACGAAGAAGAAGACGATGGGGAGGAGGAGAAGATGAAAAACAGTAGTTGGTTGAAAGTTATGATCCAATATTAAAACAAAAAGAAGGGGGAGGGGAACGAGTAGGAGGTGAAGGATGGAGAGGAAGAAGAATAGTAAGTGGTCTCTCCGTTTGGGTTC